AGACGCCGCGCTGTTGTCGCCCTGTTGATGATGTCAGCTATGCAGTTTCGTTGAGCGCGCTTTAGTCGAGCGCGGTTTTGTGGTGGAACCGCCAAGCCCACCAAAGCACACCCATCAATCCATGCCATGCCCGTCAAGCCATGCCCACAGAACCAGTAGTAAAAAAAAATTGAATCCCACCACTGGGCAGTATATAAGCCTAAATGTTATTGCTATTGCTAGCTGGCAACTGAGAGGACTGGTGGGACAATAATCATTAGCTGGAGCAGCTAATTTGTGTTTGATAATTTGTTCCTCGGAGAATTTCTATGTAATGTTTATGAGCGTGCCACAATGTTCCTGCAAGTATTTCTTTTCAAGAGATGCTGGCAAATGTCCCATTTTTATTGAACTATCATGGAAACATATGAAATCTCAAAGGAAGGCATTAGATGAGAACTTTTCCCTTTGTGCTTTTTTTAGCAGTGGAATTACTGTCATCGCTAAAGAGAAGTCCTTCCTTTGAGAAATTAAGAAGTTCTCCTTCCCCTCAAAAGGAAAAAAAAAGGAAAAAAAGAGAGGCAAAATCATCTACCCAAATTTTCTACCCACACATTTGATGGAGAATTTCAAAAGGCTATTAGTCTTCTACTTTGGCATGAGCCTAGGACAAAATATATTTATTGGCAGCATGTTCGCAGCTTAATGTGGTAAATATTCCCATCATTCTAAGTAGCTACTGTCTGAATTTATGTAGAAACCATCATGACTGCTAATCATAATATCTGTGGGCAGTCTCTGCTTGTAGCGGCTATGTGTCACTAAATACCAGCTGCTGGGAGGCAAAAGCTAGGAGGACTTGTTCCCAAATCTCTGAATTTGCTGCCTTGTGAAACAAGATGAGCATATGATGTGATTCATTTGGATTTGACTTATTTAGACATTGAGTTATTTTGCCGGGTAGCTTCTGGGCCATCAAAACTTGAACGGTTACTCTTAAAAACCAGCAATAATTCCCATTTCGATCTTAAGATATTTCAGCGGTGTGGGTTCAGAGAGAGATTGACATATGTAAATATAAATTAAAAAGTTGGAAGCCTGTTCTGATGCTACTGGGAAACCCTCTGTCGATTAGCCTTAGAATATCAATAGCACTTAGACTTATATACCGCTTCATAGTGCTTTACTGCACTCCCTAAGTGGTTTACAATGTTAGCATATTTCCCCCAACAATCTGGCTCCTCATTTTACTGACCTGGGAAGGATGGAAGGCTGAGACAACCTTGAGCTGGTCAGAATTGAACTCCAGGCAGTGGGCAGAGTTAGCCTGCAATACTGCATTTGATGCACCACCATGTAGAATTAGCTCATCTGGTTGTGATTCCTATCTGGTCCACCACACAAGGCCAACATTATCCTTCTCAAGAATCAAGCGGGATTTGGAAACATGGTTTAGTAATTACTCTAGTTCTTCTTATTGTGCCATGTTCTGAAGATGGTGCTGGAAGAACTGCTATATGTTTGGAAGGAAATTGCTATTTTGTGGTTTACATATCAACAAAGATATAATTTTTAGGTGGCATTTAGCCTATGTATATTTCCATCCATCTGTGGATGATGGGCAGCATGCTGGCTGAGGAATTCCAGGAATTGAAGTCCACACATGTTAAAGTTGCCAAGTTTGAAAAACACCGCTGTAGAGAGCCAAGATTTAGCGTTGTCTAATGTGAAGTCTAACAGTAAATGACTATATTTTGACAGCCCAAATGCAATCATTGCTTTAATGAGGAAAGCAAGCTGAAATCAAAACTGATTTATGAAAGAGAAATAAATAAATAAATAAATAAATAAATAAATAAATACAGAAAGAAAGAAAGAAAGAAAGAAAGAAAGAAAGAAAGAAAGAAAGAAA